ATCATTGGAAGAGATGATCTTAAGCTTTGAGGAGGGAATTGAAGCTTGAAATCATAACTCGCTTAGTACCTTTCCATAAAATCCCCGATCAATCAAGCCATGAAGCCAAACTCTAAAGTTTATGTCAATTGTGAATCTATGATTTTAATTTTTTGGTGCCAAAGCTTATCTCCTAAACACCTATTCTCCTCACAATAATTATCATATCAAGCAGCCAAGTGATAAGAATGATCATAAAGACGTTCTCTTTTCTTAACTACTGTCTGTCATTACAACAACAGATTGGAGCCATTCTGTCAGTGAAGTGTGGTGGGGAAATTCGATTTGGAATAGAGCCACGCCCCGATCATCATCTTGATTGTCAGAGGCAGGTGTTAAGCTTACAAGAAGTGTCTCTCCTGTCTGACTTTGCTCTACCTAATAACAATGATTATTGCTCAGGCACCAGCCTGTTCTCCATTTAACAGCCTTGGAGAGGAAAGGGGCTTTCTTGATAAGTATTAGTGATCAGAACTGATTCAATTATCGGTTAATTTTCATATTATAACTCAATTTTGGTGTATAATAAGCAAGGAAAATAAAAATTAACTTTGCTAATTGAATATTTGTTCATTTGTAAATTTATTTATTTGTTATTTCAGTGATATTCATTCCTCTTAATTTCCCACAGCCAATTCCTCAACTTTTTTTAAGAATTCTTTGGAAGAAAAGAAAACATTCTAAACCCTTCAACTGAGTTTTGTCTTTGAGGTAACTTTTTATGTTTAATTACAATTTTGAAGGGTGAGAGATGGGCAAGAAAGCCAAGGTGCTCAAGTGTCAAGCAATCAAGAACTCAGTAAGAAATAGTTCTTTTATTTGACAGAGTACTTCATCAATTCCACCTACTTTTTTTACTGCAACTTGAGCTTCACTATAATGCACAAGTTACCCTGAGGCTTTTGGCAATGATCCCCCCAAGTAACCAGTGAATCTCTAAGACATTACTCCTGTGTTTTCTTGTTGTTGCAGTGAGGATTAATTTGAAGTGTGAGAATTTATATTATTTTTGTTTTACTGTGTTTTACAGTTGAATGTAATGTTTACCTGCTGCTAATTTTGAGTTGTGAATTCTATTTTACAATTAGGGAACACTAGGGAAGTGAAGTTTAAAGGAAGTCAAGTAATAACTGTAATCCTTTCTTTACATGGTAGTTGAACACCAGTTTGAGATTGTAGTTGAAGATGTCAGAGGTCTGTCTGTGTTTGGCAGCACTGTCTGGGGTGAAACAGACTGTTTTGTTCAGTACCACTTTCCATTCCAAAGCCAAGTGGAACAAGATTCTTCATTAACTAATGGAAGGCATATTGGTAGGAGTTTCAGTCACAGTACATGTGTTGGCCTCTTGAAATTTCTCTGTACCGACCAATTCATAGATTATGGTCATTTTGAACATGTTCATAGGTTCTAATTATCTGCTTTTGTACTTGAAATATTATTAGTAGTTTTTTATTTTGTCTTTCATGCAACACTGAATGGTAATACAGTGACAAACTGATTTACAGTCTTTGCTCAACTAATTTTGATAATTATAAATATAATATTTAGATAAATATGTTTGAGTATATTTTATATACATATATATATATATATAAAGTGTGACTTGATTTTCGTAGAACAGTGCTCAATACATAGAAGTAGAGCGAAGTATATTTTGTGGGAGGAAAAAGACAAGTAAACTACAAGTTCATCTCTTAGAAGCCTGTTTCGTGGTCGCCCACTCATCAGGGGATTTATATATATATCCCGCTCAGGGCAAATTTTCTTTTCAAACATTTATTCTCTCTCTCTCTCTCTCT